CACCAAAAAAGACAATAAACTTGAGGTTTGGTTGGTGTTTCCACCTTCCAAACTACCAGTTTGAGTGCAGCGCTATATCAGTGTGAGGTAAACTTTTCCTCAAATAAGTGCATAAAACACTTACCCCTCTTTACAAGCATGTTTAGGGGGTATACATAAAAAAACAAAAGATAGATGCATATAATGGTGCAATACTGTGTATTATTACAGAAAATACTTTTTGTGGGTTGTAAGTAAAAATAAACTCACATTTCTTAGAGCCTTTTCCAGATTTAAGGCTCTAAACTTACAAGTTTCTGTGTCTTTAAGGTAGACAGCACAACCTCTTTTCTGCAGATTTGGGTATTTGTTTCTCTCCACGGTATATGCAATAGACAGAAATGGAAGGAAAGAAAGACTCTAGGTGTAGTACATTTGATAACTGGTTGAGGCAATTTCATATACAGAAAAAGATCAGTGCTCACCTTATCTAGATCCTTTTAATAACTGGCTCTAAGTATGCTGGCTTAGTGTCAAGTTCTGGGGTGACACTCCCCTTACCGGAATCAAAGTTTAAAATTACAATGACATAAAAAATAATAAAAAGACATTATAAGTATTACTGGTAGTAAATATAGTAGTCTCCTTGTTGCCAAGACGCGTTTTGCCCTGTAACTTGGCTTACTCAGTTGGGTTACTCTCCATTAAGCTTGTTCCGTTTTTTCTATTCTTGAAACTCCCACCTAAATGCCTATTATCCAATCCGGGTCCTCGTGTAATTTCTCTGACGTTCAGGTAGTGTAACGTCACTTCCGGTTTTCTTCCCAAAACTCCAAATCCCACAAATGCTTTGTGCTTTCAGAGTATTTGTATTTCCGGTTTGTTCCATGTTCAAAATGAATTAACACGGTTACGGTCCATTTACTGGCAGTCCATCTGGATATCTATACATAGTTTACTCAAGACATACGGATTCAGAGAAAGAACAAATGTGTATAAGTACCAAATGTATAAATTAATATATAAAGAAAATATGCCTAAAGTGTGGTTGATTTGTGCTGAACATATTGCTCAAATATATGTTTGTTATTAAATTGCTAGTAAAAAATATACGTAAAAATAAAAATATAATTACATTCTTAAAACTATTCTTTTTAGTGGATTTTCATCTTAACTTTCATAAAGGGCAAAGTGTGTATTGTGTTTTATCTATGAGGGATAAGTTATACATAGAATCTTATTAATGTTTTTATTCTAAATAAAACAAAAAACTTTAATAGCTTATAATGATATATACTAAATAAAACAGGACAATGTATTCAATATTTTTGACAAAACTCACTCCTTCAGAAGTAGCAATGAAAGCTTCTATTATATAAATATTCTAAAATAAAAAATGAATTACAAAATGGTTATAAGAAATTACATAACTCAAAATCTGCATTCAATCCGAATGGGGCAAGGGTGTTCAAGTTAAAAATTCATTTTGTTTCAATTTTACCCAATTTCCTTATCTTCTCGCCAGTTCATTTCAACTTTTTGAATTGCCTCACACACTGATATAGCCTTGCACTCAAACTGGTATTTGGAAGGTGGAAACACCAACCAGACCTCAAGTTTATTGTCTTTTTTGGTGATTGCTATTTGTGGTGGGGTGTTAGGAGTACCCACGGAGTGAATTCAGCAGTTAAACAAAACACAATTAAACATAAAACTATAGAAGCGCTATAATTTTTCACACCTATTTGTGTTGTATAGCTTCTTTATATTATATATAGTATACATAAAAATGCATAAAAAAGAAACATAGAAACAAAGAAACATAGAATGTGACGGCAGATAAGAACCATTCGGCCCATCTAGTCTGTCCAATTTTCGAAATACTTTCATTAGTCCCTAGTCTTATCTTATAGTTAGGATAGCCTTATGCCTATCCCACGCATGCTTAAACTCCTTTACTGTGTTAACCTCTACCACTTCAGCTGGAAGGCTATTCCATGCATCCACTACCCTCTCAGTAAAGTAATACTTCCTGATATTATTTTTAAACCTTTGTCCCTCTAATTTAAGACTATGTCCTCTTGTTGTGGTAGTTTTTCTTCTTTTAAATATAGTCTCCTCCTTTACTGTGTTGATTCCCTTTATATATTTAAATGTTTCTATCATATCCCCCCTGTCTCGTCTTTCCTCCAAGCTATACATGTTAAGATCCTTTAACCTTTCCTGGTAAGTTTTATCCCGCAATCCATGAACCAGTTTAGTAGCCATTCTCTGAACCCTCTCTAAGGTATCAATATCCTTCTGAAGATACGGTCTCCAGTACTGTGTACAATACTCCAAGTGAGGTCTCACCAGTGTTCTGTACAATGGCATGAGCACTTCCCTCTTTCTACTGCTAATACCTCTCCCTATACAACCAAGCATTCTGCTAGCATTTCCTGCTGCTCTATTACATTGTCTGCCTACCTTTAAGTCATCAGAAATAATCACCCCTAAATCCCTTTCCTCATATGTTGAGGTTAGGACTCTATCAAATATTCTGTACTCTGCCCTTGGGTTTTTACGTCCAAGATGCATTATCTTGCACTTATCCACATTAAATGTCAGTTGCCACAATTCTGACCATTTTTCTAGTTTACCTAAATCATTTGTCATTTGGCTTATCCCTCCTGGAACATCAACCCTGTTACATATCTTAGTATCATCAGCAAAAAGACATACCTTACCATCAAGACCTTCTGCAATATCACTAATAAAAATATTAAAGAGAATGGGTCCAAGTACAGATCCCTGAGGTACCCCACTGGTGACAAGTCCAAGCTTCAAATATATTCTATTAACTACAAACCTCTGTTGTCTGTCACTCAGCCACTGCCTTACCCATTCAACAATATTTGAATCCAAACTTAAAGATTGGAAAAAAAGGTCTTGTTGGACTCTACTATGACTAACTCTATTAATAAAGCGTTATTACACATTCCAGGATGTATGCTTGCACCTCACATGACTCTTAAGCTCCCTCTTTGGCTACACCTAAGCTAGAACTTCAACCTGCAAAGTGCAGGCCAAACTTAAACATGTTTTCTCACCATTGCCTGGCAGTGATGTTCCTGTCCTGATTGACATGATCGCACATCACAATGCAAATGAGCCTGCGATGAGTTGTCCAAAAGAGATATGAGTGAGGATGAGCTACCAGCCAACTCCTATTTTGAATCCTACCGAGAACAGGGTTCTGAGGATTCTGATTTGTTCAAAAAAGCCTCTTCCTAAACCTCCTGGGGGACCAAAGTCTGGTTCAACGACTCAGGTAATTGCAACAGGTGGCGATCTCCGGGATCTACAAGGTATTGCCCAAGATCCAGATGACTTACACCATATTTAGCTTTCCATGTCTGTAAACCATTAAGGGGAGTTGCAGTAAATTACAATGGCGATGCCCTCTACCAATTGTTTCAGATGAGGTGTGCAAGACCCCTGAGGAATGATCACAATTTTGACTAAAACGGTTTGGAAATTGAGAAAAGGGTTTCAGATTTCATTAAAGAGTTGTCAGAATAAACTCTTGGACGCTCTGGGTCTGGTGACAAAACTTTATGAAATGATTGAAGCTTCCCAAATGGGCTTGCTGCAATTTGACTTTGGTGTGGCAAAGGCTAGCTGACTGCTTAGCATGCATGCTGGGTAACGCCAATGTTGCCTTAACTAGAGAATGCCACAAGGCAATCATCCTGAAAATAGAACCTACATTGGTGAATATGGCTGATAATGAGCCTGGGGCAGATGCTAAAAGCTTATTATTTAGTGAATTTTTTGTAAAAGAGTTAGGCTCCTTTGTCAAGACTTTTACAGGGGCTTAGATAAGGCACAGAGTTTCATGGCTGTGGTGGCTCATATTGACTGACCCAAGGTTCCTTTAATACACAATCTCCCCCTCAGGACTACAATCCCACATCTTCTCATCTTGGGTATAACCTTGGGCTTTATGAGGAGCACGTGGTGCAGTTCCCAGAAAGAGACCTTATAGTGAGTACACTAATTCCACTTTCTTCCCATCAAAGTGTGGGGTGCAGACTTGCTCAATTATCCCTTATTTAGGCTATGTTTACTTCAGATGTTTGGCATCTACAAAGTGTTCATGGGTACAGTTTCTACTCCAATACAGGTATCCCCCCCCTTAGGTCCTGCTGACGTCTCCCCAAGATCGGAATTGATTTCCCCTAAAATTGTCAAGCTACTATCAAAGAATGCCATCCAAGAAATCCTGTAGGAGACTCCAGAATTTGTGAGCAATATTTCCCTGGTACCAAAAAAGAACAGCAACATGTGTCCCATTATCAATCTGAAACCGTTGAATGCATTTGCTCAATACCATCACTTCAAGATGGAAGGTATTCATAGTTTAAGAGAACTACCATAAGATTGGATCTAAAATATGCTTATCTGATGGTTTTAATTGCGGAAGACCATCTTAATCTCCTATAATTCCCACAGAAAAAAGTGAAGATATACTTGCCTGCCATTCGGCTTGTTATTGACTCTTTGGTGCTTCACCAAGTTCATAAAACTAATGGTGTTGTAAGAATATTAAATAGTTAACTTGTTTATATGTATTTTATGCTTTTATAAGGTTTATAACATGATTATTGCTGACTGAAGGGATATTGAATACTTAAAGTCAATATGCTGACTGTGACAGACTAAGGTATTTCTTCTATAGGATGTAAGACAATGCTAAATTTCAGGATGTCTTGCCCATTCCGATTTTAAGGATATTCTTTTCCAGACGTATGCAAAAGCTTATCTTTCCATTGTCAGAATAACGTAATACAAGGAAGTAATAAATCTTATAGTCTGTACTGTATTTGCATATACCATGGCTAATGTAAGCAAACTATGTATAAAAGCCAGCTCTGGAATACACTCATTTGAGAGTCTTGTAAAGCTGTTGTCCGTGTGTTATTGCTTACAAATGATTCTCCATCAACGTTGATTATGGTGACCGAGGGATCGAGAACCGAGGGGATTAGAGTCCATTACAACATTAACCCTTTCAGCTTGGTGTCTAGAAGTGGGATAGAAGTTGGATCAGCAAAACCATTTGCGGTGAGTAGCCTTTTTGTGTCTTATTTGACGCTGATTGTCTATGACCCCCGTTTGGTTCAGTAAGTCTGTATCCAGTAGATAGGAAAGGTCTAAGGACTCTAGTTATATTGAGACCATGAGAGGTCTCCGGTTTATATTGAGACTATAAGAGGTCTCCGGTTTATTAGACATTTGGTCTAAATATATAGGGTTTTGGTAACCCAGGTTAGTATCTAAGATAGATACAGGTTTTTGAGACCATAAGAGGTCTCCGGTTTCTATAGGTGTTCTGAGCAGCACGGTTTGTAGATCTATAAGTATAACCCAAACTTCTCTTTCTCCCGGTCACCTTTGTTTGTCTTAAGTGTTCTTTGTGGGTGATTGTTTGTCTATATTGGGGACACACTTTGGTAAGTTAGTAGTGTCCCCACTCTGAGTCAGCAGTATGGGAAATGTGAGTTCAGGTCCTGAGTGACCAATATATGTACATGTATATGTGTATGTATGTATATATGTGTATATGTATGTATATATGTGTGTGTATATGTATATGTGTATATATAAGATAGCAGTACTTTTAAACAAATGGAGGTTTTAAAAATACATAGGGATTAAGGAGAGAACGCAGGTAACTTGTTTTTCTTTGGTTTTTACCATATATTGGGGCTGATGTGTACTGTAGTCCTTGCTGCTGTCCAGTAGTGATGGGAGTGAGCGCAGGACTTATCTTTTTGCAAGATAGCAGTAATGTATATTAGAAAATAAATGACTCACAGGTTGTACCTGATAGACCTACTTAAATCTTTTTACTTTATTCTTTCTGTCGCATAGAAGTATAAGTTTATTACTCTGTTTTATTGTAAGTTATTTCACATGGGATCTATGTGCCTGGTATGATTGCTGCTTTAAAAATACCATAAGCCCACTACACTTATTATGAGAGTGGGATAGTGTAAATGTGTTGCATTTTTTGCATGATGAGCTCAGTATATTTTATAACTGAGACAAAAAGTCACTTCATTAGTATTTGAAAGTTAATTCCCCGTATGGGATTAATTGTATAGAAACACCAATCAGCACATCTTCCCTGCCCTGTGTGTTTGTTGCAGAGGATCCATACTGTAAATATAATTTTATGTTTGAAAATAACAGAGCAACATTTACATTTTCAGCGGTCCAACACATGCTTTATTTTGCACTGTAAACTAACCTTTTTATTGCAACAGGTTCCTTTTAAATGATCCAGTGTAATAACTACTGCTTGTGTCTTCTATGTCTCACATTATGTGTTCTTTTAAATTGTGGTATATAGCCTGGATCAGAAATCATGGACAAAGGTTTTTTACCTGTGTTACTAAGGGCTCTTGGAGACTGACCGGTCTAAAGGTTTGCCATGCCTTTAAAACATGGTATAGTATAAATTTTTTAAGTCTCTGAGAGTTCTGAAAGATTCAGGTGAAACCATGTCTGTTTAATCTGGTCCAGATGTTTGTTCAATTTCTATAGGATTTAAATTGATGCAGCATCATCTCAGATTAGTTAATGGTAGTTTTATACAAATAGTTGAGTTATGAGCGCGCTATATAAATGGATCCTTTCTTTAAATATAATACTATAGTAGATTAAAGTAATGAAGTTAATTAAGAAAATGTATACATAAGAATCCCTAAAATAAATCTAAACTAAAATTGGTATACTTTCCAATAATATGTTCTGAATACAGCTGTTAACTCTTTATTTTGTGTAAATGGTGATTGTGATAATGTGTGATAAGTGTGCAGTTTAACTTGAAAGTGGTTTAATTTATGTTGCTGTATTGTTTTAAATTATATGTGAATCAGTTTGTCACAGTCTAGTGATACTGATAAGAATGACAGCCAAATAACCTAGCAAATAACTGTTTTATTAGCTGTTGAATACTAGCGTTTTGGCCAAGAATAGTTGGAGATTTGGAGGTGTTAGTTTAAGATTGCTTTTATATTGTGTCTATCTGTGTTTCCTAGGAGGGAGACAGAGTGTGTAGTTGTGTGCCCATAAATGTGATTTCTGTATTGGCATATCTGCTGGGTACCCATTATGTGTTTTTACAAAGATATTGCTTTGTGAGATGACGTGTAATATTACATGGGATGCTGAGTATGAGTTATATGGTTTGAAATGAATTGGTGATTATGAGCTTAGTACTTCAGTAAGATGTGCTAAAATTTGGAACAAGGTGGAAGCTGAAATGTTGGGATTATGGAAGAATAAGCAGTCTATATTCACTGCTTTGGCATATAAGCAGGATGCAAAGGAAGAGATTGGTAATATGATTTTTGTAAAGAAATTTTACAAGTGTTGGAAGGATGAGGCAGGTTTGATGTCTGGAGATGATATAGATATCTTTAAAATACAGTCATGCCTTGGTAATATGTTGCCACAGTATTATTTGCTTGTGAAACAATTGATTTCAGACTGGGCCAATTTGGATAGCTCAGATTTTCTTACCAAGGTTATAGAAAAGGAAAATGCAGGTTGTTTTGAATTAAGAAAAGATTTAGGAAAGTAAGGTTGCTTATTATGCTCAGGGATTGCCACCTACACAGGCTGAGAGCGAGGATGGGATGGAGCACATAAAGCCCGTGGAAGGGGTGGTCAAAGAGGGGCAAGGGGATGGAGACAGGGAAATCAGGGTTATAGGGGCAGGGGTAACCAAGGAGGAATAGACAGGAACACTTGTTTCAACTGTGGACAATATGGCCACTGGAGGAATGAGTGTCCACACCCCAGGAAACCCCACACACCCCAACAACCCCACAATTCTCAAAATATGCCCGGTAGGCAAGAACAACACCAGACCCACTCCCAACACCACTGGCCAGCATATCGCTTAGTTCAGGACTTTAGAGCCCTGAATAGTTTAATTGTGCCCATTTCACCCATTGTCCCTGATGTGACATCCCTCATTACAGCCATTCCACATGATGCCACTTGCTTCACTGTCATTGATTTAAGTAATGCATTTTTTTCTATACCTATTGATCAAGAGACACAGCTACTTATGGTTTTTACTTTTTGAAGGCTGTCAGTTTACCTGGACACGCTTACCCAAGGCTATGTGGATTCCCCAGCTGTTTATTCGTTGGTACTCCAACATACTCTAAACAACATGGACCACCGGTCATGGTTCCGTCCTTTTTGCAAAATGTTGATGATTTGTTGTTATGTAGCCCTAGCTATGAGGCAAGCACTGTGGATACTGTCAGCAACTGTAGGTCACAAGGTTGTTAAACACAAAATGCAATTGTGTAAATCAAAGGTTGAATACTTAGGTTTTGTTCTGGCTTTAGGCACCAGACAATTGAGTCCAAAACGTATTGAGGTCATTCAGAGGATTCCTACACCCACTATTCGGAAGGAGTTGCTCACCTTCCTCGGCATGATTAATTACTGCCACCATGGATCCCTGAATGCTCCCATTATGACTCAATCCTAAGGGAGGCTGTACGTTCTGACAGCCCTGAAAATGTCTGCTGGTCACCAGACATGCTAGCTGCATATATTGCCCTTACAGTTGTTATTGTGCAAGCCCAGGCTTTAGGACTACCTGTGTATTGTAAACCATTTCATTTGTATGCTTGGGACAATTGTAAAACCATGGCCGCGGTCTGTGCACAAGAGCAAGGAGGCGGTATGCGTCCCATAGCATTCTTTTCCAAAGTAGTTCGTGCTCCGGTACAGGGTATGCCGGCGTGTCTCAGAGCATTGATAGCATGTGCAATGGCTGTTGAAACAGCTACTACTATCACACTAGGGCATCCTACAATACTTCATGCCAGTCACCAGGTCACTCAGCTGATAAATATCACCATACAACACATGACAGCCCAGCGCTTCAGTGGTTATGAGATTCTTTTTTTAAATACCCAGAATCTGTCTTTTGGATTAAACAAGGTTTAGAGAAAGATCAAAATGATCTGTTCTCTAAAGAGGGGAGAATAGGCATACTTGAAGAATAGGCATACTTGAAGCAAGCTGATTTATTTTCATCAGTCAGGCACATAGCAAGCACCATTCAATTCTTCATGAATTCATTTTATATTAGGAATCTCAGGCAGCATGTACAGTCTTTTGTAAGATCGTGTAAACGCTGCTCTTTTTACACACTTACAGATTGATTTTATTCATGTATCCAAAATTGATAAGAAACAGCAATACTTACTGGTCATAGGTGATCAGTTTAGTAGATGGCATGAGGCCTTTGTGACATCTAGGGAAGATGCTAGTGAAGATTATTGTTACTGAAATTATTCCCAGGTATGGCTGCCCTCTGCAGATTGGCTCTGATAATCGCCCAGTATTTGCAAGTAGGGTTGCCCAGGAACTTGCTAAATTCTTGCAAGTTACCTGGCAGTTTCATATACCCTATCATCCACAGAATACAGGGGTAGTTGAAAGGATGAATAGGACTATTAAGGAAAAGCCCAGAATTTACCCAGGAACATGGGTAAATTGGACTAGATATCTACCAGCTATTTTAGCTGAGATAAGAATATATCCCCACAAGGTGAATTGTTGATAAAACCGAATGGTATGTATGACAATGTTTCTTCGCAGTTTTCCCTTACCTTCACAGGAACCTACTCATCCATACCAGCCCGGTGACAAGGTGTATATCCGTCAGCTGAACAGGACCAAGAAAGGAGGATACCCTTTTGGACCACCTGCTACTGTGATTGCTGTACCCAGAACCGCTGTCCTCACAGATTCCCATGACATCTGGATTCACGCATCCCGAGTGAAGCTGTGTCCAAAGAGGGGAACCAAGGAAGACAACACCACTCCTCGCTCGGAAACAGAAGAATTTCTCCTCAGCGAAGCATCATGGTTTTCACACCATATCGTAGATTGAGAGGATCATACGTACCTGAGACCAAGATTATGTTGTGCGCTATGCTTTCTGGAGTTGTTATACTCCCTCTGATATTGTTCCTTGAATGCCATTATGAGTACAAGTCAATGGCAAGTTCTGGAAAAAGACTCTGACATGATGAACAATTCTTCAATACCCCCAGCCCAATTAGGCCTTAGCCCCTCATCTAGCATTCTTCACACATGCCCCCTCAAGAACCTTTCTCCACCAACTTTCTATCAGCATGCAATATGCAATCATTCATTCACTGAACGCATTTGGATGAATTGAACAAATAGTAACCCTTATAAGTACCAGTTACCCATATGGAATGTGTCCACAGCTAATGAAACCGATGCATTATGTTTGTTTAAAGGTTCACAGAAAATTGTTAGATCTTATAACGCAGAAATGTGCACAGTTAAGGTTGCATATCAATGTAAATAGACAGGCCTTATTACTTTTAATAATGATTATATAACTGGTATCATTAATTGGAAAAGGGGACAAATGTTAGTCATTATGAACGACACTACAATTGAGAACTATACACTACCTTATATTTTTACACCTTATTACTGTCCTTCATCCACTATCATAGAACCAAAAGTCAAACACGACACACACACACCTATTCCGTCCACATGTGTTAATACAACTGCCTTCTTACAAGCTGTACATGTGTCATTAAAAGTCACTACTCTTATTGTAACATTATGTAATACAACAAACAAAGGCAGAAAAGGGAATGGTATGACACACTGTTAGATGGTGCTGGAACCACTATGGGTATACTAAATAGTTATAGATATGGAGACCCTCAAGAATAAGTTAAACACAGCCAGCATGCATATAGGGACTGGTTTTCATGCTACTGCAAACTGGGCTCCAACTGTTGTTAAATCACAGGTAATAGGATTGGATTTAGATAAATCAATGTATAATTATTTAGATAATTTAACTGTTGCAACTATGAAATTCACTACAGATCTAAGTAACTGGAGTACTTGTGCCATCAGGTATTTATGGATACAACAACAAGGATTGGCATTAGAAAACACACTAATGATTCCTAAACTAGAGAAGATTAGAGGAAAGCGTAACCTCACAGATAATGAATGGTTACTTCTAAAACCCCAATCCAGTAAATGCAATGGATGGTTAACTGGTAATGTTTCACATTTTTCACGCTCATGCTATTTTACATTATATCATACATCATCAAAGGATGTTAAATTAGCTTGTCAATTTAACACATTACCAGTACCAGTTTATGATCTTTTTGCCAAGAATTTAACCTGGTGGGCACCCACATACACAGGGGACTATATTTTTCCCAAAGATAACACACACAGGTAGCCACACATATCCTAAAAGGAGAACTCCTTAAGGTGAGTTCACAAATTCAGAATGATTCAGCCCATAATTGGTACAATGCTTCACTGGTTGGTCCCCTACTGGATCCCAGATAATGAAATCATTCTTCTATCATTTTGTTATTATAGTCCTGATTTTATTGTGTATGATTTTATATAACTGTCACCTTACTTGTACATTGAGGAAGAGAGTACAGAAATTAATCCATAATGCAGAACAGAAACAATTAGAAATTCTCCTCTCTGCCACTGTAGAGTATCAACCCATCTTTAAACTGGGCCTTAGGAATTACCACATGGGAATCGAGGTGAAGAAATTAATGAAAGTCCCGCAGGGAGTGACTAGCACCCCTGAAAATACCATGTGGAAGTTTCTCTGTCCTGGTAAGATTTTATCGATAAGATGAGCAATTGTTTTATTGCTCAAAGAGGGGAATGTAAGAATATTAAATAGTTAACTTGTTTATATGTATTTTATGCTTTTATAAGGTTTATAACATGATTATTGCTGACTGAAGGGATATTGAATACTTAAAGTCAATATGCTGACTGTGACAGACTAAGGTATTTCTTCTATAGGATGTAAGACAATGCTAAATTTCAGGATGTCTTGCCCATTCCGATTTTAAGGATATTCTTTTCCAGACGTATGCAAAAGCTTATCTTTCCATTGTCAGAATAACGTAATACAAGGAAGTAATAAATCTTATAGTCTGTACTGTATTTGCATATACCATGGCTAATGTAAGCAAACTATGTATAAAAGCCAGCTCTGGAATACACTCATTTGAGAGTCTTGTAAAGCTGTTGTCCGTGTGTTATTGCTTACAAATGATTCTCCATCAACATTGATTATGGTGACCGAGGGATCGAGAACCGAGGGGATTAGAGTCCATTACAACATTAACCCTTTCAGGTGTCATTTCTCTAAAATTCTCACTACTCCAAAGAATCCTTGGTGGGGATTATACCACTCAAGCTTTAGCCATTGAGCAGTATGCCTGCTCAGTAGAATGTGAGTAACCACTTGGTATTTTATAGTTTCACCTCTGGCTTTTATACAATAAGTACTATTAATTTTTCTTTCTTTTTTTTTCTTTTTTTTTTTTCTTTATTTTGGTTGTGCAGGTGGTTACAGATTATTAACGGACGCCACATCAGCGTATTTCAAGGTTACAGTAGTTATGCAGTGGCAGAAAAATTGCACATTTTTTATATTATGTAATGGATATCACGCTTAACAAAACGGCTATGTTAAGGTTAGTTAACGTAAAGTAAAACAAGATGTAGAACAAAACGTGACAATGAATGCTTGTCGTTGAGTATAGCGGCATTTATGTTAGGCATACTGATTTGTATATAGGTCTTAAACTTCGCCAATGAGACCGTTTAATTGCTAAATCAGGGGTTGGTCAGAGAAGGCAATTAGCGTGTTGTTAGCGGTTCTAAGTGACATGCTGAGGTGCTTAAATGCTCCGCTGGGCAGAGAGGCTGGGAGGTGGAAAAATAAATTATACACTGGACCTGTATAGGAAACAAATCGAGTATCAACTAGTGAAACATTCACCCTAGGTTGCTGCGATCCCATAGTGTATTACTGGTTATCATTGCATCATTCTATTAAAGGTGATAGCTAGACAGGTAAGGTA